GGAGATTGTGCTGTTTATCACAATAAATAGTGATAGGAAATGAATTGCTGCATTTTCTACAAAATGCCTTGAGGTCACTGACTGTTATGTGACTCATTATGTCTGGCAAAAACCTAATCAGGAACTAAATCTTAGAATCTATGAAGCTCAGCTTTACATCCTTTGCGATGTGTGCAAACTGTAATCACAGTGGATGTTCCCGGTATTAATACTGAGAGGGTGGGAGGACAGAGGTGTCCTCTCCATACACACATGTGATCCCTACTCACATATGAGGAAGCCAAGACAGGAAGACAAGAGAATGGCCAGCAATCACCCAGAGGGCAGGTGGTGGAGCTGTACTACTTCCCAAGTAAAATGAGGCCTCCCTTTTTGTACACAGCCAGCCAGCAGCTCACAGTTCCTCCGCAGCAGTTGACATACTCCTGGTGTTTCTGTGCTTGATCTAGGCTTCACAATCTCACCAATGCTTTAGTGTTTCCAGTGTCTTCACATTGGAAACTCACTTGAACTGACATGCAGGGAGATATATGCATATCCTGAAATGCTTTGAGGAAGAACACTTTCTTTGCTACAAGGTAAACATACATATTCTATCTTCATGGTCTGAGAATGAGCTAGTGAGGGTCCTCCAATGACTTTTATAGGGATTCTTTTTTCTTTGTACTTTGGAGTAAATGCCTTAGCCATGGGAAGCACTAGGGACAGCAGGAGGAGGCAATACTTCCTGACTAAGCCACTTGTCCAGCTGAAGTGGCTTACGTGCAACTGGAGGAGCACCCAGCCTTTCAGCTGTGGCTTTTGCAACTTCTGACCTATCTGGAAGGAATAAGCATTCCCACAGAGTGGTGGTGCCCTCTGTTGGTGGCTCCTCTGCACTGTGAGTGTACATTATAGAGAACTGAGCCTCCTCCTCACACTTCTATAGGTGAAGGGCCTTTGATGTAGCCTCATGATTACTCCAGAAGGATCCAGGTAGGAGATTGCTGCTTTCCTTCCTGCAGGGTCTTCAGATGACAAGGACAGCGTGTGCAATGCAGCACACATGTGGCCTGCTGCAAATGACCTGGCTCCTCAAAGCTTGGACAACATGTGGTTCCCCAGGTTGCTGGGCATGTCTCCTCCCTCCCTTGTAACCAAGCAAACAGTCCTCAGGAGTGACTACAGCACCGCTAGAGGAAAAGTACAGAGCTTCACACTGTGCTCCACAGAATCATTGGCTTAGACCTAATGCAATCCTTCAGTGGGATTTTTACCAGGAAATATGAGGTCTGTAAGACTTGTCTGTGTGCCCCTAAGTAAATGATTTTCTCTGGCTTCACAAGGTCATGGAGGAAGTCTGTTGGATTTTGACTGTCCCCTTGTAGCTTTGAGCATTCAGGTGTGAGCTACAATTTAGCATAGGTGTGCTAAGTCTGTGCCTAGCTGTAGACTTCTCTTTGACTCCCTAATCCAGACCTCAGTGAGGGACTTTTCCCAGTGAAACACTGGAGTTTTCTGACATTCACGGAGATTTGGGGTGTGTGTGTTCTGCAATAATTTGTTAGTTATGGGATAATGCCTTTTTCCCACCCTTGGCCTATTGTTCTGCTGCTAGGATGAAGTGGTTACCAAGATCTTAAAGATGACCAGGACATGGCTGCTGCTGATTCATGCAGTCACAGAATGTCAAGAAGGCACATTCTGTGAACTGATTAGGAGCTTACTATCAAGATAAGGAAGGCCCATCGGTGAAGTGGGAGGGACTAATATACCATACACTGAATGTTATAGTTTAAAAAGAATTCTGGTCTATATCTTCTTCTTTTTTTTCCTCATTGAGTTTATTGGTACATTTTAGGTATACAGTACAGTTACATTATTGGGATCTTCTACCTTTACATGACAGGTCTTGGTTCTCAATCTCATCTATATCTTCTAAGAATATATTGTCAAGACTCACAGCCAAGCTCAGTGGCGTTTTGTTTTCCCTGCCATCTTGCACCCTTAGACTGGTGTTTCCAATGGCTACAGGGAAGGACTAGGAAGAGGAGAGTATCAGGTTCAAGGGCACAAGCCCAGCAGATCACCAGCCTCCCAGGTCCACATTACTTGGCAGTGTTGGACAGGTCTGAGGCTCTGAGGGCTCCCTGAGCCCAGCTCAGGGAGCTGAGGACATGGGTGGGCTGTGCTCTCCTCACATGTCCCTGGCACTGCAGCTCATGCAGAAGCAGGTGGCAACTGTGCACACCATGAAGGTGACTCAGGCCACTCACAAGCTACAGAACATCGCTCGTTCCACAGACATATGCAGCTCTCCACTGTCCCAGGCCCCAACAGCATCCAGTAAGTAACAGCAGTGGCTAGCTTGCGTTGTTACTCTCCCTGGAAACAAACATATCCAAGCTTGCATACAGACAGGAGCATCTTCAACCCTAGATGGCAACGCTTCAAGTTGAGTCTTTAATTGGAAAGGTTAAGGGGAACCGCCTGTGAAAGAGCTTCTGGAATTATAAATCTCCAGCATGCAAGGAAGAGGTCCAGAGGGTTTCTAAAATTTGAGACATGGTCTCACTATGTGTTCAGGTTGGCCTTAAACTCACGATGTAGCCCAGGCTGACCTCGAACCTGTGGTGATGCTGCCGCCTTAGCCTCCCGAGTGCTGGAATTACAGCCATGCACCACTGAGCCCAGATTTCCAGAGGACTTTTATGCTGCCAGTATATGGTACATGTGTTATACATTTGCATATATATATATATATATGTGTGTGTGTATATACATATATATATATATATTGTGTGTGTGAGTGTGTGTATGATTGTAACAAAATGGTCATCCTGATTACAAATAATCCTAAGAGAAACTAATAAAGATGATGTTTGCTTAAAAAATAAAACCTAAAAATAGACTTCAAGTCTCTCTGTATATATGTGTGTACAGGAGTTTGAATATCTGAGTAAACTGACCACCAAAGGAGACTCTATTATTCTATAGCTTAAGTGGTGGACTGACACTGTTTTTTTGAGTTTATTGGTACTTTTTAAGTGTATAGTACAGTTACATTCATCATTGGGATCTTGTACCTTGGACTGACTCTTAACACTGTAAAGAGTTCCGTTTCAACACATAAGATCGTTGCCCCTCCACGGATCCTCAATCACTTGCTCTGGCTCTCCGGCACCATACAACTATCTTCTACCCCTTCCTCTGCCACTGTGAGAAATAGACTTTTTCTTTTCTGTCAAAGCACAAGACCAGGGAGGGGAATGGGAGTAAGGGGAGGAGGAGGAGGAGGAATGGAATAAAATAAAATTTATTAAACAAGTTTTAAAAAGAAAAAAATTACAAGGCCAAAGCAACTCCATTTTGGATTTAAATGACCTGGCCAGCTATTCACCTCCTACCCATTCTGTTAATATCCTGTGCTCCAAGAAATGGTGACCATGTACTTTTTTTTTTTTTTTTAACCAGAATGCAACCATTTTCCAGAATAAGAACCAAGGACTTTCCATTCCAAACTGCTCATCCCCTCTCTCTGACTTATAAGCAAAACCCCCTTCTTCATGCCACTTGAGTTAGTCAACCATGACAGACTGAATTCAGCCAATGAATTTAAAGGATAGCTGCTTCTCCTGTGTTAAGGATAAAAGGGGCAACCCTCATTTGTCCTGCACACCTGCTATCTCATGCTTGCTCCCTTCTGCAGAAGAAAAAAAAAAGCCTTGTCAAGATTTCTTGGTGTTTTTTGCACAAACAAATTGATCTAGGGGCTTATTTCCAAAACCACTGAGGAAGGAAAACCCCTGTTCATAAAGCCAGTGGACTATGTGCAGGAAAGTCTTAAGAAAATTCTTACAAAAATGGACATAAAGCACTGAAAAATCAGAGTACTGCTCCTGTTTACACTTGCCTGTGTTACAGCCATTAAATGAATCCCCACTTATTTCAGTCTCTGAGCTTTTGGATCATACTTTTTCATAGCAGAAGACATTGAAAAGTGAACAGCAATGCATTTGTCATTATATGTGTTTGTGTAAAAAGGACAGAACTACAGAAAAGAAGGGACTTGGAAGAAAAGCAAGTTAATCAGGAACAACATAAACAAAGAAAGAAACAAAAAAAAAAAACATTGGGGTAGATCATCTCACCAGTGAGTGAGGTGTAAAGAAAGACTTTTGTATAAATAACAACAGGCCAGGCTGGGAAATACAGCCTGGAGAATGTGGGCCTTGAGTGTCTGAATCCTACAGGCCTGGTTATCCAGGATAGACAGACAGTCCCTTTAGTACCCAGAAACTCTCCTCCTTTCCTTGGGTAGACAGTGGCCTCAGGATCTGAGCACATGTGATACCACCCTCTGGTTCTCTTCACTTTGGGAACGACTGGAGAAAAGAAGAGTGATCTGTTGTGGTCCTGCGTGCCCTGTGATTAGGTTCAGTGTCACGGTGGAAAAGTGGATTCAATTGCTTTGATATAAAAATCAGATAAGAACACGCTCATTCATTTTTGGTGGAAGCAGGACAAAGAGGACTACAGATATATAAGGTAATGTATATTCCTGAAGGAATAGGGAAATGTTGTAAAGACCACAGTGACTTCCCTGCTTCTCTGATTCACTGTCTGCAGTTAGGGTCCAGAGGATCAAGGCTTTGGCACTTTTGCCTCCTCATCAGTTATTTTTATGGCACTGTTAGGTTTTTTTCTGCCCTCTCATAAATGGATCAATACAGAATGAGAGAAAGACCAAACAGGAAGGAGAAACTGGGAAGCTTTGGGGATTTACATCACAAGAGGGCAAGCAACACAAAATAAAAGCAGAAACAAAATGAGGGCATTCTCAGGTGGCTAGGGGACTTCCAGAAGGTGAGGAAGGAGATTTGTCCCCCACCTTTATAGTTTAATAAGGAGAACCAACCCACGGATCTCCCACTCAGCTGAAAGACTAAACGCTTCCCCCGAGAATGTGTGTGCACTGAACTGTGGTGTGAAAACATGTTTTCTGGTTCCATGTTACATACCGAACACATCATTTTCTTCTGAGGCTGTCTGTGGAAGTCCGCCAAGGTTCCTCTTCATTTCAGATCTTCTGCTAGTTTCACCATTCTAGGAAAAAAAACAGCAAAACCCCTTCTTCAGATACAGTGTTAGCAACCCAGTCCCTGTTATGCATTTTTCCCCCTTACACTTTTTTAAAAAATCAGATGATCATTCTCATATCTGTGTTCAAGTAGGAAACGGAGTTTTAGTTCATGGGTAGATTCTACGCCGGGGATTCTAAATTCCGGCTTATTTTCTCTGCCACAGCCCTTAAACATTCTCACCATCCATTTGAACATTTTCAAAAAAGGAAAAATTGGCTCGGATAAAATAAATTAGCTGAGCATTAACCGATCAGTCTAAAATACGCCATGTGTTTAACCTTTGGATGATAGATAACACCTGGGGCAGAACTGACAACAGATATAACTTTCTTGAATTCCATCTTTGGCCAACTGGAAGCCGGCCAGGACTGACTGGGGACAGAAAATAGCACAGTACATCCAGGGGTGCCTGAGTTCCTACGAGTTGGGGGAACAGCCTGCTGCTGAGGTCACACACTGGCTGTGTGTCCCATGTGCCTTTGGGAATGTGTCCTCTTGAAACAGCTGTTTTTTGGCTTTCCTCTGGGCTTTCCATCTGCTGGTGTCTGAGACCTGGATGGCCACATGAATCTGAGTTTTATTTTGGGGTTTAACATGCATAGTTTAATGAGGAGTCCAGAGAGCAGAAATAGTGCCATATCTGTATATTTGTGGAATCAGTTTTACTTGATTATTGAATTATCTCAAATCTAGAACAGTCTGGCAGGGGTGCAGCAACCACATCCAGTTCCCCCTCAAACTTCTGGGCTGAACATTCTCCCTTCTGAGGCTTTAGCCTTTTCAGTTCCTTCTGGGTTCCTTTCATCGGGTCTGTGCACAACCAGCAATGGCATCCTTTCCCTCCTTTCTCTTTCCATAGATGGCCTCTCACTCTAGATGCTGCTCCGCTTCCTGCCTTTTCCAAGGAAGGAGAAATCCTGGGGGTGACTTCATGTCAGCATGGAGCTGTCTCCTTGACCCATGTCTGCATGGGCTCCAGTGTTCCAGGCACTTTGAAGACCCAACCAGGTTCCCCTGATGACTATTCAGCCTGTTTGCATATGGGTTTTCTTTTTTTTTCTTTTCATTGAGTTTATTGGTACTTCTTAGGTACACAGTACAGTTACATTCATCTTTGGGATCTTGTACCTTTTACACGACGGATCTTGGTTCTTATTTTTTTCCCCATGGTATTTCAGTTATAACCAGTGATGCATTAATTCCTGTTAACTCCTCATAATGCCCAGGTATTGACAACCTCTAGGAGTTGAGTAAGTTAAAGAGGAACCTTTTCAAGACGCACCTGAGAACCTCCAGACTGCTGTGTGGTTGTCTCCAGCTGCAGAGCGGCCGCTTCTCTACAGCATGGCTCCCTCAGCTCTTGATTGGGCCTCTGCAATTACTTTATACCACTGATTTCCAACCTCTCATTTCTAAATGTCTTTAGCCCAGACTTCAAAATGTGTGCATGTCCTCAGCTTTACATTCTTCCTTCTAGAGAGGGGGCAGTCAAAGGTGTTGAGACAATAAGCTCTACAGCCTTCCCAGAGTGCACATTTTGGCTTGTTGTTTAGTGGCTGTGGACTTTGGTCATGCCATTTAGTCTCTCTGCCTCAGTCTGCCTGTGTATATAAGGAAGGAAATGCTGACACTGCCTGGCATGGTTGTGGTAAGGATGAATAAAATTAATATTTTCAAGGCACTTAGAAGATGCCTGGCACACAGAAGCTACTGCTTGGAAATGGAAATTGTGAGGGGAAACTCTAAAAGGACTACTGGGTTCTGGCAGCTGGCTGCTGCTCCCCAGCTTAGCTCCAGAGTTCTCTTCTGGTGGGTGTGTTCTGTCTGAGCAGCTCCCCCATCTCTGGGGCTTTCTTTCTGGGCTTTAGGTCATCTCGGTGAGCTGCTCCCTGTGGGGCCAGAGAGTAGCAGATGGCTGTTAAGTCCAGGAACAATCACCAAGGCCCTGGGGAGAGGCTCCAGTGAGGCTGTCCACCCTCTCCACCTGTCCACCCAGTCCCAGAGACAATGGGGCTGCACCCAGAGAAATGAAGGCAGAGGCTTTGGGCTGGTGTTTCTGGTTGGTGTTTTGGAGGCTGGGTTGCGTTGTGTCTGTGGGAAGTGAAAGTAAATCACCTGAAGCCAGTAAATTTACTGACTTTGGAACTCTCCCACCCCATCCCATCTCACACACAAGGCCTTCTGTAGTTTGAGTCAAGTGTGACATTTCCAGTTCAAACTGCCTTGACTAACTCATGAACCCAAAGTGTGATTCAGACTTGTAGCACACAGCACCACAGGGCACACAGCGAAGGGGCTCAGGGCACAGCACTCTGGCTGTGCCATTCTACTGCACACAGGGCGGTTCATTCATACAGGTACAGGCCTGGGGTCCATGAGTGGCAGCAGAGAGGGCTCCCTGGCTCTTGGAGGCTCTGTAAGAAGTGTAACAACACACACTCTGTAGCTTCAAGGGTACAATGTATGTGAAGAACCCCCACATCAACCATCTCACAAAAACTAACTTCCTATGTGTGTGTTTATCCTACAATTCCACCTCAAGGTAGATAATGCTGGCACGCTATTGCTCATTTAGCTGCTGATGAATATAGAAAAACAAGTTTACTCACATAAAACCCCAAGTATACAACATGTTGTCTGCTGAACTGAGCAAGGAATCTTTCTTTTATTAGACAAAATTCATGTATTCCCAGGGTGACTGGAATCTAGCTGGGTAACCTTTCCAGCATTTCCCCTGCCATTTTGCTTGAGTAGACTGTGCACTCCCCAAATTCCTTCAAATTTCACCGTTATCCACACCGAGCTTCTTCACTCCCTCAAGGGCTGACCTGTGTCCTTATGAGATATGTCCACATTCTAACCTCTGCTATCTGGGACTGTGACCTTATTTGGAAGCAGAGACTCTACAGATGGAATCCAGTGAACAGGGGGTCATACTGGATTAGGGTAGGCTGTATTCCAGTGGTAGGTGCCCTTAGACAAAGAGGAATTTTGGACAGGGCTACACAGGACAGAGATACAGAGGAATGGGAACAATGCAGCTATAAGCCAGGACACACTATGGACTGCTGGAGCCACTAGAAGCTGGAGAGAGGCCAGGCAGGTTTCCCTCTGGCCCTCTAGGGGGAACCAGCTCTTCAAGAGGAGGCACTTCTGTTCTTCAAGTCACTGGTGTTTGGTGATTTGTTGCAGGAGCCACTGGAAACTCCCTCTTCCCTTAGACAGCAGCTCAGGCATTATCGAGTGTGGACATTATCAAGTACAGTGAAAAATGGTAGAGGAAAACGTGACTTCTGGTACTAAGGAATTTCTAGTTGCTTAGTCTATCCCAAAGTAGGAATCTGTGTCATTCTCTCTGGGAGTAAAACAAAAAAAATTTCCCTGGGCCCTGACCTCTAAACCTCAAGTAGCAGTTTCCCATGGGGTCAGCACAGGCCCCACCCCAGGCCTGGGGTAGTGCTGGGAAGGCAGGAGGCATGAGAATTAACACAGTTTTCTTCTGCTGCCTCCTAGAAAGTGTGACGCACTTAGGTCTTTGTCAGAAGCCAGTGGAGGAGTGCAGCAAATGAGTTAACCAAAAGAACTGATGCTCAGTACAAGAGGGAGCACCTGTGGAGGCAGAGTCCTGGTTGGCTCTGGAGGACCTGCCCTATCCTGCAGCGTTCTGCTCTTTAGTGCTGAGTGTCCAAGCACCCCCTGGAGACACATCCACCACAGATACACCACCTGCCATTTGAAGGGATCTTCTGCTTGTTTTAGCTTTTTTGTTTGTTTGCTCGTATTTTGAGACAGGGTCTCACTATGTAGTTGAGACTGACCTGGAACTCACTGTGTGGCCCAGGCTGGTCTCGAACTCAAAGTGATCCTCCTGCCTCAGCCACCTGAGTGCTGGGATTACAGGTGTGCGCCACCACACCCGGCTGTTTTGGCTTTTTATACACATGCACGCACTCGTACAAAGCCATATTCACACACAATGTAGCCACGCACAATCACATACAAACTGTAGGTGGAAATGTGCTTATCATTACCCTGCAATTTTAGAAGATTGATGGCCAGGAGGTGGTAATTTTGGAGGAATGGCCCTGGCTATGAGTTCCTATGTACTATAGAAAATTCTGAGTTTTCTTTTTTTTGGTACCAGAGATTGAACTCGGGACCTTGCGCTTGCAAGGCAGGCAGGGAACCACTGAGCTAAATCCCTGGCCCGAAAATTCTGAAAGTTAACAAAAAAGGCTCTAGGAGAGCACATCACCTTTTAGTCAATTGTGGAAAAGTTACAAAGTTTATTACCAAAGTTCTGAATCATATTGGAAAATACTTATCAGGAGAAGAAAGGTGTTGACATATGTCACATAGTGTCATTGTTCCTGCAAAGCTGGTTGTATATTAGGCTCTCAGCTAGAGTGACTATATCATGTTTAGGCTGCCTTAAAAGCATTAAGTCATAAACATTCACTTGAAGACCCTGAAAGCTAAAGAAAGAACTAAAGATAAAAGCCTTAATTTACCTGTAACCAGTTTATTACATGAAGTTTAGACTGTCCCAATGGTCTACGCCAGTGGTGGCGAACCTATGACACACAGAACTCTCTCTGCTGGCACATGGGCCAAGTTGCCTCAGCAGCTGAGCATCAGATGTTCAGATTTAATTGCAGTGTTGGCACTCTGTAATAAATAAGTGGGTTTTTCATAGCAGTTTGGGCAGGCCATTAAAAGGTTCACCATCACTGGTGTAAGGTAGTATCACTTTGCATAAAAAATTGTTGAAAAAGAATGTGAAGAAGGAAGTAAATATACGGAAACACTATGTGATAGGGCTCTGCAGATCCATGACGAAGCAGGTGGGCTCCTCTCTTGGCTGTGTAGAAGCATTACTGTCTCTGATCACTCCTGCTCTTCTCTGGGAGGTTCTGACAGGCAGCCTCTCACCCAGCACTAGGATTCTGCCTGGCCTATGTG